TCATAACCCATTACAAGGGCCCTTGTAAGGTAAGTTACTAAAAGGAATATTTGGATCACAATGAACACTTCCGTTTGGAGGATGCGCCCGACCACCTTGGCCGGTCCAGCGGCGGGGACAGCCCTCCCTGCACTCCGCCGTGTCACCGACGGGCCTCGCCTCGCACACTGCGGCGCTGCTGCGCCCTTGTCCCGGCCGGGAGCCCCGAGCCGCCCGCCGGGCCCCCGCCGCCGGCAGGGCCGGCTCGCACGTGGCTTTCGGAGCGCGGCCCGGGCCGCAGTGTGCTCCCGGCAGGGCGCTCCCGGCAGGGCGCTCCCGGCAGGGCCGCACCGCCGGCAAAGCCCCCGGCCGCCGCCGGCCCTCCCGCAGCCCGTGCCGGCACCTCCGCTTCCCCTCAGCGCTTCCCCGCGGCATGAGGGCTGAGCAGGGCGGACCGAACCCGGCCCAGCCGCCCCGCCCCGCTCTGCCCGGCGCTCTTCGGGACACTCACACGCCAGCGCTGCCTCTACGGCTCCACTCCCGCCTGCGACCTCCGCCTTCTGCCCGTCCCCGGGCGCCTCTCCGGGGAATAGGCGGCGGGGCGGAGCGGGGCGTGGGGCGGCGCCTGCCCGCGCTCCCTCCCCTGCGGACGGGGCAGCGCCGGGAGCCCGGGCGCGGGGGTGAGCTGGGGTTGCTGGCCGGAGCCGGCCCTGCTGCCAGAGGGAGGGATCGTGCTTGGCGGGAGCGCGGACAGGGCGGCCAGCCGGGCTTGGGGCCGGGAGAGCCGGACACCCCGCGCCCGCTGCCAAAGCGGGAGGAGCGCCCGGCGCTCCCGGGAAGGGCCGCTCCCGAGGCCGGGGCCTCGCCTGCTGGAGGCCGTAATAAACGTGCGTGAAGCAGTGCAACGTTTGGCAGCCAATCTGGCCTTTAGAGAACCTTTAAAAAAACTCCTTGTTATTTTATAAACGCTGTTGACTACTCTGTAGGAAGGGATTTTGGCTGCAGGCGCAGATTGGTCTTGAGCCTGCTGAAGCAGGAGTTTTAAACTGAGGGTGCTAAGTGCCTTTCTGTTGGCCACCTTTGCAGGCAGCTCCTAGTTACCAGCCAGACTCCCTAAAGCTGGGTCCGTAGGGATCAGTTTGTTCTCTAGCAAAGCATGTGAAGGTTACACACAGTAAATCACTTTAAAGTAAATGCATTGATAGGAGGAATAAGAGTGAGTTATCCTTTTTACTGGTGCTGTAGAAAGGGCCCCGGGGGTCAATTTACCTGGATGGTGAGTCAGCAGTGCCCTGGCAGCCAGGAGGGCTGAGCATGTCCTGGGGGACATCAGGCACAGCCGCACCGGTGGGATTGTCCTACTCTGCTCTGCCCTGGAGTGGCCTCACTTTGAATATTGTGTGCAGTTTTGGGTGCCACAATGTAAGGAAGATACTTAACTATTAGAGGGTGTCCAAAGGAAGATTTTGAAGATGGTGAGGAGTCTAGAGGAGAAGTCGTATGAGGAGCAGTCTGTTCAGCCTGCAGGAGACTGAGGGGAGACCTAATTGCAGTTTACAGTTTCCTCATGAGGGGAAACAGGGGCAGACACGGATCTCTTCTCTGGTGACCAATGATGGAATCCACGAGAATGGCCTGAAGCTGTGAAGTTATGTCAGGGAAGGTTTAAGTTGGACATCAGAAAAAAGGTTTCTCTACCAAAGGATGGTTGAGCCCTAGAACAGACTCCCCAGAGAAGTGGTCACCAGAGAAGTGTCAGGCATCAGCCTGACAAGAAGTGTTTTGGACAAAACCCTTGGGTACACGGTGAGACTCTTGAGGATGACCCTGTGCATGCAGGGCCAGGAGTTGGACTGGGATGATCCCCATGGGTCCCTTCCAACACAGGATATTCTATGATTCTCTCTGGAGCATACAAGTACCATTCTGTAGCCTGGTTATTGGGACAGCAGGTGATATTTTGGTGTCAGTTCCTCCTCCTTGACTAGTTACTAAGTGGAAGCCAGGTGGTATCTTTTATAGACTATTCAGTTTTTTACCCAATTACCATTCATTAATTCTATTCCGCTTATAACACTAGGTAGGATTGTTGCAAAACAACATATATAAATATGTATATGTAAGTATATATAAAAATTTTCTTAAGAAAGGATGTTCTTTGATGTTTGTTCTTTGTATGCTTTTAAGCCTAATCAACAAGAAGGGATATTCAATCTGTGAGCAGATAACAGCTAACAAGCAAGATCTAAGTAATGTCCAGGTGTTAGAAAAAACAAATTACTTGGTAGAATTGCCTTGTTAGGGTTTAGGGCTTGAAATGCTTCAATGACCTCAGATCTAGGGGAAGGTTAACAAAGCTTGGAAAGGAAGATATACCACTGATAGTGGACACAAAGAATGTGGAATTTGCAGGCCATAAAGACATCTGGCAGAACTCCCAACATAAAATAGGAGCTAATAAACCCAACCCAGTGATTGTGCTGCAATCAGCTCTGACTGGGTAAATTATAATTCCATCAGAGGGAGATTGTGACCATCAGCTCACAGACCACCAACTCAAGAAACCCGCCAACCCCAAAGAAGAGAAAGACTGAGCACAGGACTAATTAGCATGAGAAGCAAGAGACTCATTAACCAAAAAAAGAACACCAGTTAATAAGAGAACTATGTAACTTCCAGCCAAGGAACACTAATTCCTTTGTTTGCTAAATTCTATAAATAGTAAAAAGTTCTGATTGTGTAAAAGTTCTTATTGTGTAATTTGTGCAATACCACTGATTGTGCAACTCTGAAATAAATAATCAATGTCTTTCTTAAGTGTGTCATTATTGACTTGTTGCACACTGGGTAAAAAATCCGATTTTGGCAGAGGAGGTTGCTCAGCATTTGAGGCAGTAGCTCCTGCTTTCTATATGTTCTCATTTTAGAGACTGAATTAATTATTTAAGTATTCCATTGCTTTCTTCAGGTGCTGCTTCTTGTTTGTTTGTTTAGGCACACACATTTAACATCAATAGACTCGTGCTGAATCAAGATTTTGAACTGTTACTCTAAGAGGAAGACTGTCCCATTCGTAGTCTGCCAGGCCATTAGGTTTTCTTCCTAGCTTGTAGCAGAACCCTGAATCAAAAACTTACTACAAAAATAAACACCACTGTCACAATTAAAATCTATGCAAAAAAAAAAAGCAAAATGCAGATTTATTTCATGGCTTCATTACAAATGTATTTACTTCCTGCTCAGCTGAAAATAAATTGGAACATTCCATTGGCAGTCTAAGTGCTTAATATTACATAAAAAAGTTCAGCTCAGAAATCACAAGCTACCAGTTTCAGTACCTGTAGGGATTTTTCCTAACAAAAATAGTTATTTTAAAAAGCCCTGAACCACTTGACATGTATCATCACTGACACACACTGAACACCCATGCCACAACACAGCAGTGCAACTTTCTAACACAAGGTAATCGGTCCTCCAGTGCTCAATAGTCCATGCAGCTGGGCACATCCTCTTCCTTGGAGGGATATATAGTCCTTTTTCTTTAAAGCACAGAGTGCAAGTTGCTGTGTTCATAACATTACACCTATGTACAACCACTTCACGTTATTGTGGAGCCCAGCACAGTCTGAAGTGCCTTTTACTAGTGGCACCTGCTTCTTATGGTGTTCCATGACACAAATTTGGCTCCCTCAGCTTTTATGTCGCAGAAATCCAGCCATGTGATCTCAGTTTTGCTCCCAGCAAAATTTAGTCTTTTCCAGTTAAACGTGCCCTCATTAACACACATTTGGTAGAAACACACCAAGAGCTGTGGAAGGGAGCACTGGTGAAAGGGCCAAGTTGAGAAGCACATGGGAATCTACATGTAATGACAGGTATGTGAATGTACCAATACTCATGTGAAATATGGGACACAGGCAGGAACCAGCAAATAAGTATCAAAAGATATCAAAACAAAAAAACCTCACCATACTGAAACACACAGTGCTATCACATTTAACATTCTAACACCTACAGCTTGAAACAGCAACTGGAACTTAAGGGAAAAAATACAAATCTCACTGTTGTGAATTTAAGGAAAAAATGTAAATCTCACTGTTGGAACAGTTGCTTTAGAATTGCTTTTTAAAATAGGAGTGAAGGACACCAAAATTCAATAAAAAGTTGTTACTGTTCATTACAGAAACATAAATAAGCTAGCAATGAATCAAATTGGTTGTGAATGTTCTGTTTTCATACGCAGGGGTTTGTTGTTCACTGCTTTATCACTCATGTAAATTTATCAAAATTAATTTGTTTTCTCCTACTCCCTCATCCAGCTACTCTCTGTCTCTCAAGGCAAGTATCTGCCAGTTTGATTCAATGCCAGTCTTTTAACATTCTTGGTGTCAGTAATGTATGAGAATGCTAGAGGGGCCAGATTACTTTGTGTATGGGACCAGATTACTTCAACTGAAAGCAGCAGTGAGATTTTTCCTCATGTATATGAGCTGATCACCTTAGTTACCCTCTGAAGTTAGTGAATACGAATATCTCCTTCAAGTATGACTTCTCACATCCTAAAGATGTTTTTTTTTTTTTTCTCCAGTGACTATAAAGAGAAACTAGGATGAATAGTTTAGATACAGGTATCTCAAATATGAAGGAAAAGGTTCCCCGTGAATAGGCCAAATATTTTTAACAAACTGTTCAAAAGTATTATAGATTTTTATTTCTTAGTGCCCATAAACACACACACAACCCACATCTCTAAAGTTTAAATACTATGAAATTAAATAACAGGAAACTTCATGTACATGTCATTGGTCTAGCCACAATAAAGACATACAATCAGGGAACTCCACTGGAAGTTTTTGGTGAAAAGAGACTAACATCCATAGCAGTCATTGTGACTATTTTCTTGACTCCAGTCTGTGCATTAAATCATTCTGTTTTATCTTCTCAAAACTGTATTTGAGCAAGTAATCGTTAAAAAAAAAAAAAAGGCTTTGTAATTTCCCTAGAGAATCAACAGGCCAACTGATAAGGAAACTTTAATCTTCTAGAATTAGCAATGGGAAAAAAAAATCCAGCATGCTGGAAAGATAGGCAATATTTGTAACTACAGCTATGTACAAACCCACTTTTTCTTAATCTTTTTCTCTTTGAAGTGTTCTGCACTGTTCCAGGAGTCAGTTATGAGGTATGAAAAACAATAAAAAGGTTAATGTTATAACCATTTTAATAAAAACCACTGCACTGTTTGCACTTTCAAAATATTTCTGAAAATAACGTAAAAAATATTTAGTATTCTTAAAAGTCTTAAGGAAGTTTTTATTACAAAAGCAGTCATCTTTGTGGCTTCTTCCATACACAATTCTGCCTCAACATTAAACTCAGACATATGGGTATGCTTCATATTACCATCATACAAATAATCACATTGAATTTCTATAGCAGTAAATATTATATAAAACAAATAAACCCTCACAAAAACATATACAGGTAGCCAGAAAAATTATGTTGTCTGTACTGAAAAGTAAACACTATTTTCAAACACTAACAAAACATCCAAATTGTTTGTCAGTCTCTTCTGTCTTAAGACTCTTGAATAGAAGGACTTCCACAGAGGAATTTCTACAACTTTGGTTTATAATGACCTAGAAAAAATTTGTCCCTCATACATAATATTGATCTAGTGGATGTCTTTAAAGCTGATATGGAGAGCAACAGGGAAAACTACACATGTGGACTTTATGATGAGAATAATAATTTAAACTCAGGATGTCATATTCCAAATATACAGAAAAGACCTGATTATAGTAAACATATTTATCTTCTGCTATAAATTAGCTCATCCAGCAAGATCCCTACTCTTTAATTCCTCATGACTGAAGAAGCTATGTGTTCTCTCTATGTGATGAATAGTAGGCTATGTATGGAAAGCCTTAAGAACCTGCTGCTTGTACTGAAGGGTGTATCTATTTCAGCACCTTTCAGATACAAAAGTTGGTACTAAGCTAGGCTGGTCATTGGAAGATGATTAGCCATACTGGTGCAGTGCTCCGCTTACCAGATACTTATCAAAGAGCATGCTTGGATCATATTCAGAAACAAACTTCTGAAAATTTTGTCCAGAAAGCAGAAGAAATGGAAACAACTGCCACGGCTTTGTATCCTATGCAAATTAATTAGTCCCACTGAGAAACAGGCTATACCTGTAGGAGAGGAGCACACATACATGCCTCTGGCACCACAACTAAAACCAGTATGTAGCCATGTTCATTTGTCCAAAGCCAAATTTGTGGACAGCACCACACTGCTGCAGCCTTGCTGGCTAGTTCTGCAGTTAGTGTGGCAAAAATAATGCACTGAAGTGTCTGCATGACTTGTAGTACCCGAGCTAGCTTTGATCATACTGTGCTGATCAATTTCTCCCAGGGGACATGGATGGCAAGAATAAAGGAGTATGAAAAGACAGGTGAAGTTCCCTAGCTTTCATATCCAATAGCAAACTTCCAGTCTTAAACAAACAAAACTAAACATCTCAAAAAACCCCAAAGAAACTGGAAAAACCAACCACCAGCAAATAAACAGACATGTGACTACTTCCTGAAGCAGGAATGTAAATATATAGTACATGACAAACAACTCTGGACAGCCAGAGTTCAAATGTGTATTAAAGCATAGCCCCTTTTGAGAGGTAACATGGTATCAACATAAACCACCTCTGAATCATCCCACATTGATGTGCTCAGTTTATGCATTAACAGCTATGCTTATTTATCTGCCTCTTCAGCAAACACATGAGCAATGGGAGACAAAGGTGAAGCCAAGTTCTTTTAGGTAACAGATCAACAGCCAAGGTCAGGTCTTCTGCACAGTTACTGTTCCACAGAAGTTCTCTCTTTATTCCCCAGCAATATAGCAGCTCAAAGGTGTAATGTCCTTAACCAGAAAGCACTGAATTGCCTGAGAATACAGCAATTAGCTCCTACAGACACTATACTGTACTTAACCACTGACCTGCCACAGGAGCTAAAGCAATTCTGACTTGTTGTCCATGTTGTCTGTGGTTGATGAGGCTGCCTGCGAGACCAGAAACTCTACCTGACTCTGTTGCTTCACCTTCTTTTCATTAGCTGCTTGCTAAAATCTCTATCTTAATCTAACAGTATTTTCTACACTCAAGCATACCTGAGCAGTACACTGGCTGACAGACATTTATGGTCAAATCCTTGCCCTTATTTACTCCTGTACAAATCTGACACTTCACAGGCTGGAGAGAGAAATGAGCATAAGGGCTTAACCCAAATTGTATGAGTAGACTGATGTGCTGGAGAGAATTCATTCTTCCACTGGCTCTGCAGGACTGGCACTGGAAGGCAGTAATAAAACCGAAGTGGACAGATATTCTTCATACTTGAAAAGATCAGGATTTAAACAGGAAATTGCACTTTTAAGTATCACTTTCAGAAATAAAACTGCCTCCTGCTATTCATCCCGCTACTAAAAAGTCAGATGAAGATATCAAATTACACATGTATGCTGTGAAATTCCATCTGCATTGCTTTCATATACCTATAAAAATGTTCTAATGGAATTTAAAAGCAGTTCAAGTAAAAATAAAACGATCCCTCAAGCTGAAATGTTAGGATCTGTAGGAGGGCAAAACTGGACATTCAAGTGTGCAGTGCTGGTGGCGTTGTTTTTGAGAAATGATGACTGAAGCCTGTACATGGTCAAAAGTACCCATGTAACAGCAGTTGTAAACAACATGCACGGGCAACCTGAAAAGGAACATCAGGCACCGCCTTTCTTTTGCAACTGCTCCAGTTTTCTTCTTAAGAGGTTGTAGTTTTCCTTAGTTCCCGGTGCCATGGGATCAAGCTTCAGAGAGACTTCATAGTGCTTCTTTGCCAAGTCAAGGTTTCCCCAGCGATGATAAAGCACAGCTGGAACATCAATGGGGAATTTCGTTAGCAATATTGTTGAATAATGTACAATCTTGCCAATCACTTGGAGAACAACATTGAGGTATTTGTTTCCAGAGAGGGTCTGTCACTGGCTGGTGGCACAGTAGCTGCTTGTTCTGTTGCCAAATGCAGGAGCAAAGCCTGGGAGCAGAACTGGCATGGGAATGATGAAGGAATGAATTACAATGGAGCCATAAATGGCAGCTCTTATCTGGTGAGCTCATTGCGGGTTACAAGCACAGCATAAATGAACCAATTTGCAGACACTGAAGTGCAGCTACCTCTGGGCTGGATTTTGCAGCCCTCTTGATCTGTCATATCGTGTGACAGCTTTTCTGGCTTTAGTGCCTTGTTCTTCTGGCTGGCAGTTCTTCTAGAAAGTAAAATAGAAATCTGCCCAGCAGAAAGAAGGCGCAAAAGATTGCTTTTTCTTTTTAAACACAATGAATATGAAGCAAATAAACAATACAGCTGATAAGATTTAGAAAGGCTCTTACCCAAATTACCGTGATAGCTGGCAGCATTTGGATTGGCTTTAATTGCCTTGAGGAACAAAGCTTCAGATTCCTGAATAATTTAAAATAACAAGTCATCAGGGAAGTCCATTCTCATATATATAAAACAATGCCAAATTTACCCACCACTGTAATTACAAACCTTCCAAAACTATGCCATATCTATATGATACCACCAAATGAATATTCTAAACCTGCCTGATCTGTAGCTCAGGTGGCTACAGCCCCCATGAAACCAAAAATAATACTGCAAATAAGTGTCGTGTTTTCACAGGCTGCTCTTATTTTAGCAGAAATTTATTAAGTACCAGTGAACTTTGCTCTTTACCTAAAGTACCTTTTTTTATTTGTTATAGTATTTTCAAACATTACCTGCTGAAGTTTTCCCTACTTACGCAATCAAATTAAGGAAATGTAATTTGGTATCTAAGCAAACTGCTTATAGACACTTGTTCCTTTTACAATAGTTTTAGCATTAAAAATAGGGGCATTCCAGTAAATCTCTTTCAAACAGATGTTTCAGTGCGGTTCCCGATGAAGAGTAGCTGAGTACCTTTTACTTAAAAAAGCATGCCAAATCTTATCATGCCACGCAACATCCTTCACATTTTCCTCACCAGTTATCTTCTCTGTATTAGTGTTTACAATGTGTGCTCTTAAGACTCTTGATATCTGAGTTCCTCTTAGAAAACCTCAGGTCCCTCACCTAATATTCAGAGAATAATTTACTGCTAAATTTATTCTCTAAGTAAAACAATTCTGTTTTTCCAAACTAGCTGCTAATATTGACACTTTTTTCCCAGAGCATATTTCCTGCAGAAGTTTAAAAACTCACATCCTGGCCAATACAAATGGAGCATATTTACTCGCTGACATGCAAGTTTAGATACTTGAGAGCAAATTTTACATAGATTTCTATGCTGTGCTGTGCTTTAGGGAAAGTTGTTCATTCAGTTTCAATGCAAATGACCTAAAGATAAAATTACCTCAATGTGGTAGGCTTCCATCTGAATGCACATACTTGCTGTCTGAGGTATGTGAGAACAGTAACATGGAGAAAAGTCCTTTCCTTTGTGCTAAGCTTTCACTGCTTAAAATAAATCACAGGCTCTACTGAAAAAGAAAGCCTGTCAGCCAGATTTTTGGTTCCACCATCTTCTCATGTCAAGCATGAAATAACTCTCTGTAAGGGTCCCTTCAGGGGAAAAGAAATTTCTGATGTCAAGATTGAGTCACTCAGCTCTAAGTGACTTAAGGAGCCTCCCCATATGTCCAAATTCAAACCCAAACTAAAAGCATTGCTGAGCACAGCTGAGGCTGCCATTCTCAATCCAGGAGAGACTCATGCAGAAAGTGCCTTCATCGCCACAGATCAAGGAAATTACAAACCCCAGGGTTCTAGCTAGGCCAATGGAGGGCTATGAAGATGATGAGGGGACTGGAGCATCTTTTACGAGGAAAGGCAGAAGGAGCTGGGCCTGCTCAGCCTCAAGAAGAGATGACTGAGAGGGGACCTTGTCAGTGTCTAAGTATCTGAAGTGAGGCTGCCAAAAGGATGGATCCAGGCTCTTCTCATTCATGCCATGCAACAGCACAAGAGGCAATGAGCAGCAACGGATGCGCGGGAAGTTCCACCTGAACATGAGGAAGAACTTCTTTACTGTTCAGGTGACAGACCACTGGAGCAGACTGACCAGAGAAGTTGTGCCGTGTCCTTCCCTGGAGATATTCAAAACTTGCTTGGATGCAATTCTGTGCAACCTGCTCTAGGTGAACCTGCTCTAACAGGAGGTTGGATGAGACCATCTCCAGAGGTCCCTTCCAACCACAACTATTCTGTGATTCTGATTTTGTTTCAGGACAAGGAGTATTTGGATAGGAGTTAACAAGGGGAACCAGATACCTGCAAATTTACTTTGATAGTGCAAGTTTTAGCATTGCTTTCCTATGGCATGAGCAGTTGCTCCAGCATTCTCGTACCCAGACTATTAAAGTCCCTGGATGCATTGGTCTTTTTGAAACCCATACTGTTTAGAACATGATTTCATTCGTATTTTGGATGATGGGACTGAATGCAGTTTCAAAACTTTACAGATAGCACCTAAGAGGAGGGAGTGAGAAATACATTGGAAGGGAGGACAGCTATTTTGAGGGACTTGGGCAGGACAGAGAAACAGACTAGCAGGAATCATAGAATGGCTGAGGCTGGAATGGACCTTTGGTGGCCATGTGATTTTTATAAGCACTTCTGAGACCACACCTGGAGTATGTGTTCAGGCTGGGGGTCTCCATTACAAGAAAGACACAAACATACTCCAGTGAGTCTTGCAGAAAGCCACCAAAATGGTACAGGGCTGGAGCACAAGATGTGCAAAGACCAGCTGAGAGAACTGGATCTTTTCAGCCTTTGGGAGAGAAGATGAAGGTGGCTGCCTACAACTACCCGATGAGATAATACAGAGAAGAGGGAAACAGACTCTTCTCACATGTCTGTGAGATGGGATGAGACATAATGGATGCAAACTGGCATACAAGAAATTCCAATTAAAGGAAACATCAATTTTTTTTTATCATAAAGTTGGTCAAGCATTGAAAGATGCTGTCGAGAGAGGTTATAGAATCTCTATTGACAGAGATATTCAGGATTCAACTGGAACTGGCACTGGTTTGGGTTAGGGGTTGGACTAGATGACCTCTAGATGTCATTTCCAGGCAAAATTTTTCCATGATTTCCATGTTTCTCAGTCACCTGAGAAACATACTGAGACTCAAAAATTTGGCAAGTGGTGCAAGATAACCTCCTCTTTTCATACAACTCTCAAATCCTAAAAATCAACAGTGGATTGGCATTTGAAAGCATGCAGTAATTTCAAGTCCCACAAAGTTTAGTATTTTGGTCTAGTAAATCTCTTTTTTCCTCACTGGGCAGGTTAACAGCAATAAAAATGAAAGATATACTGACCACTTAAATCAGCCTTACGCCTAAAAGTTGCCACCTACACAGAGGAGGAGCACCTAATGTACATACTTGCATCCTTTCACTGCTGAAGGACAATGGGATAACATGTGCAATGTGCTTCCAGGTAATTTACTGAAATAGATATTCAAGAGCTGGCTGCCATTATCATGCATCTTCAGCTCCATGCTGAGAATATTTTTATCACCACTACTTTGCTCAGCAGCTAGTAGAAGCATAGTGGTTGTTTAAAGGCTATTTAAGGCGCATCATATTCATATTACTGCGGATATATGGAGTAAATATCCCTTCCAGTACATCAGTGGTATTTCAAATCGCTGCATCTTGCCAAATCTTCAAGTGTTGCCAAGAAACTTGCAGCTTGCATATAGCAAAGGCTTGGGGTAAGCACGCTGCATTCCATCTGCTGCCAAGGCCACAAAATTGTAGTCTGGCTTTATTTCAAATACAAAAAATGCTGAATGGTTTCAATTTATTGCACTTTTTACAGAAAAAGCATAGATATATATGTAACAAAAATATAGCACACATCTTTTTCAAAGAACTAAAGATAGCTTGGTTCTTCATCAATTGAGATAAGAACAAGCATTCTGTTGGTGTAACAGATGTTAATTGAAAAACCCAAACAAAACCACAGAACAGCTCATCCTTTATGTGCTTTTCTCTCTGGAACAATAAATCATTCATCACTAGATACAAACGTAAAATAAAGGGCTATCTTTTTTATTTTTTGTGACGTAGGAAACCTATTTTCTGCTGAAAATCAATGTGCATTTGAAACTGAAGGAGAATGTTGTGTGCTTATTGGAAGGAGAATTTTGCGTGCTTATTGGAAGGAAATCTCCCACAACATAATAAAACCTTTTTGACTCCATGTCTTTTAAAATAAGAGATAACAAAAAACCCCAGAACAAATCTTCCTGTGCAACAACAGAGCCAACATAGTAGCAACTTTTATACAGACACATAACGAGTAACCTAATAAATTAAATGCCTGAGGTTATACAACACATCAGACACAGCCCGGCAGCACTCTGAAAATTACCTCCATCACCTTGACAGTCTCCATCCCCCGTTCCTCCCCTCCAATTCCATTCAATAAAAATCCTTGAAGAGCCATCCACTTCTCTGTTTTTACATGGTGAGGAGGTGGACAAGAAATCTGAATTTTTCATGTTTTTTTTTTGTCAGTAAGCATTCTCCCATTACAAACAAATCTGTATCTCCTCTTTCCAGGCAATGCCAAATACAGCTGCTGAGAGCATAACCTCTGTGAGTCCTCTTTCCAATTCCCTTAATTTGCTCTCCCTGTTATAACTCATCAGTTTTTAGTGGCTAGTTAAGCTTTGCACAAAACTACTACTCCATATTAAACTATTAAAACACTCACTGGCACCCTGCTTTTTTTTTTTTTCCTGGGCTCCACTATTCCTTTTGCTTTTTTCAGACTGTGCACTTAAAAGCTGCACTTTCCCCTACTCTTATTTCTACATTGTCTCCAACACTTTCTCCTGCAGCATAATAACCTTTCAGAACTGGCAATCAAAACCACTATCTTCTTTTTTATTTTTTAAATCCACTAAGACAGACTTGTCTCTCCTACACCTGGAAAAATTTTCTAGCTCATTTTCAACTTGTTTTCAACTTATTTTTTTAAATTTATTTCATTATAAATTCTCTGTATTCTGTCATGCTACATATTCTCCCTGATGAATGACTATAAGATCCTCTATTCTTCCACAGGCCTGACTCACCAAAATAATTCTAGCAATTACCTCCTCCATAATCTCATATCTTATACATTCTGGATGTTAATTTGTGTCATTCTGGAACTTTGTTAAACCAACCTAAAATATGTATTTATAACAGTCTCAGGTGGAGAGAGAAAAGAATTAGAGTGTCCAGCCAGTCTAGAAAAACAGTAACAGGGTGCTCAACAGCATCACTAACACAAACAAAAGCCAGTGCTGGGTTGTCACAGGTCCTGGCCTCACATGTGAACAGGTCAGGACTGCACAGCTGGTCAATACTGTAAAAATATAAGTGGTCACAGTAACTACTGGACAGATGTATCTGTTTGGAGAATCATGGACTTATTAAAGTTGGAAAAGACCTTTAAGATCACAAGGCCTAACTGTAAACCCCACACCACCAGCATGTTCACCATTAAACCGTGTCCTCAAGTGCCACATCCATACATTTTTTTGAACACTTCCAGGGATAGTGACTCCACCACTTCCCTGGGCAATCTGGTCCAATGTTTTACAACCCATTTTGTGAAAAAAATTTCCTGATATCTAATCTAAACCTTTCCTGGTGCAACTTAGGCAATTTCCTCCTGACAAGTTTCATATTGTACAATCTTCTTACTTTGTATGTAAATGAGGATGTTCCTGCAGTGCTGTTAACATTATCACTATCAGAAAGACATCAAGCCCCTTAAAAGCCTAAAAAAACTGAAAAAAGGTTCAGTAAATTATGTTTTTCTAAGGAACACCAAGGACTTGATTATTAATTTGTCCCTATTACATACATAAATCACTGATTATAGAGTCAATTTAAACAACTAACTATATTAAATGTGTATGATTTATTCTCTGTCATATAAGCTTATCATCTGATACAATTCCCTTTGGAAAACAAGGCATCCTCATCAGTTTCATTACATTTACTACTTGCAAATAAAGGGAGCTAATGCTGAGGTACCACTCACAGGCTGGTCCACTGTATCCAAGAGGAAGTTCAATACATTGAGCAATGCATGTACTTTCTCTCATAGCATTCTAAAGATCACCCAGGTATCCCATCCTCAGTCTGGGATGAACAAACTTGTGTTACTATATTTTAGATTGTGTCTGAGGCAAAAAGGCTAGAATTCTTATCTATATATGTACACATTCACAGAATACATAGCAAAAGCACAAGGATTAGCCTGTCCCATCTAATTTGAGTTCCTGAAATAAGGTCTCTAATTCAATGCAGGCTCTCCCCCTTGGCAGTGAAGCAACACAAGACCCTAACTGCCCTCTAGTGTGCTTAAGAGCCTATTTCTCTCCACTGACCACTGACATAGTGTAGGGCAGCAACATTTGTAACCCAGACATCTAAAATAAGGAGGGATAAGCTCAAGACAGAAGCACACACCAATACTGTGGTAGAAAGGGGCACTGAAACGTTTTAAACAGATTATCTAAGTCATAGTCCACAATGATCTCCTCAAATGGTTTCTACAAAAAATGTCGATGGAGTTAAATTAAGGGAAAAATCCCAACTAAACCAACCCAAAGCCCTAAAGTCAAAAAGCTCTAGTTACCTACCTTATATTTTTGTGATTTCCCCAGTACATTAGCCAAGGAAAACATAAGGGAATGATCATTAGGTATTAATTCCAGGGCTTCTCTTCCAACTGCTTCTGCTTGAGCTAGATTGCCTGGAAGCCCAGGTGGCAGAAAAAGAGAAGGCATGTTTCAACACAGCCTTAGTTCATGCTGCAAGCACACATATTTTACAAATAGCTGACTGCATAATTTTGTAGGGAAAACCAGGTATCACACACACACACACAAGTGTAAAATGCTGCAGACTAGTGCAACAGAGTATCTTCATTTTGTTTCCAACAGATAACACCTTCAGAAGAACAAGAAAGCAGAGATTAAAAAGTTCTGGAATTTATAATACAAACATGCTTGCACAGTGATGGCATTTTAAGTAAGTATCAGAAATTCAATTTGTGGGCTGGATTTCAAGTGATGCTTTAAAATCACCAAGTCAGAAGGCATTCTTCTATTATTAGAGGGTGTCTGGGTAGCCAAAGAAGAGGTAGAGATCCTTTTAGATAAAAACAGATACAGGTTTTTCTATACACTGAATTATTCATTAAAACATTCAAATAGACCTTTACCTGTGTTATCAAGCAATATTATCATATTGTTCCAGGCCAAACTGTGCTCTGGTTTCAGGACTGTAGCATTCCTCCATGCATTCAATGCATCTATGTGGCGATTCAAATCTGCATACTAAAACAAAAGAAAAATCCAGTAATTTTGCTATTACTTGCTTTACTTTCCTATCATTCACTAAAGACACTAAAAAGTTGTTAATGTCTTGTCCTTTCTAGTAGGATTTCTTTCTATAGACAAAAATAAACATAAAAGGAATACTCTTGTAGTATGGAAGATAAGAATGCTATATACTAATTTTCCTTTCCTCTGGAAGTGAGGCTTGTCTTCAAATATGCATGTACCAATAGAATAAGGAGAAGAAACAGCATACAATTTGGAAATCTACACAAGAGATTTAGTAAATATTTAATGTACATATTTTCAAAAATCTAATTTGAATTTTTCAGCATAGTTCTACTAGCTAACAATATTTTAAGGAATGCAAAACATCGGGAAATAATCAATAGTACCTTTTGGAAAAAAAATTAAAATCTGTAATTTTGTTTATACTTCTTTATATGATAAAGTAGGATTACCAAATGTTGTATGGAAGGAAGTATATTGGGAAAGCAATAGCAAAAGCTACCAAAAGCATGAAATCACCCTAAAATACAATATAAGCAAAGCGGGATAACTATCAGCTTTTAACATTACAGCAGAATTATATAAATCTATCTATATATATACATACAGAAAGACACACAGATTCCAGTCATTGCTATAATTTATTCAAAAGCACTTACCAACCGCCCTAAATTGTAGTAACAATCTGGATATTTTTTTCTGTGTTTAATTGCTGTCCAGTAGCTTTGCTCTGCCTCTTCAAACCTTCTTAAACTGTTCTGCACTATTCCTAGATTCATCCATGCAGCAGCAAAATCAGGTCTGGGCAAATTGGGAAAAAAACACCAAGAGAGAAGACAATTAAGCATCTGAAACACAAGATCTTATTGTATCATTTTGGCTCAATTGGTGCAAAACACTGCTTAGCATTGGTCTAAACATACTGTATTTGTACAGCTAAGGACAGCAACTCCTCTGCTTCATGGAGCTCATTTCTTTCTTTCAGAATATTTCCAAGGTTGTTCATGGCATGCACATATTTTGGATTCAACCTAAAATTTAAAATTTAAGAGATTATTATTATGTATGGACATGTATTAATATATGCAAATTGCTAGCTCTGCAACACTGCAGAACATGAAAATGAATACCTAAGCATTTTCTTCATGTTAAACATGAGAGCAATTTTAGGAAAGATCATTAAAGCAGTAAAATTTCTAATACCTTACAGCTTCTCTGTAGTATTTGATTGCAGCACTTTGATTTCCTTTGTCAGCCAGGTTTTTGCCAACATTGTAGTGCACCTGAAAACACAGAGGGATATTCCACCACAGTCAGATATTTTGTGGAATCAAGCAGCTAAAAGTTCTTTCTCTAAAAAGAAACAGTCAGCACTTGTGTCATTCATTGCTGGCTTTTGGTGTAGGTTGATACTTAGGATTGGATAATTCATACAATGAAGACAGTAAGACAAAATCTGAGGTACACATCAGCTTACCTATTCCAGCTATTTAAGAAAGATTATTAATTTCCTAGTTTTATAAATGAGGTCACCACACCTTTCACAAGACACTTGGTATGGAGACCTCCTGCTCTTAATTTTGTCTGTTTGCCAGATAAGAGAAAGTTTGACTCAAATCAAATCTGTCATAGCAGAAGGAACACTACAGCAATGTGTCAAACTTTGTTTTTGTTATTGCATAAACTAGAAGAAACTCAACATTCACTAAAAACCCAAACAAAAGGTAACAGACAGGAACAATTATTATCTAAGGATAAAAATGTATCAAAGAGCATTTCTGAAATAATATATGTAGCAATATGTTGAAGACTTTGCCTGTTAAAAACAGGCAATGATGAAGGAAGGATCTAGAGCTTTCAGACTACAGGGAGAAGATGCATCATCCTAATTTATGGCAAGAGTAAATAGGAATAAATATATATCAGGACAAATCTGAGTTGGAAGACATCTCAAATCCCATTTTAAGACGAATCTCAGAAGACTATGTTACCTGGCTGAAAAGTACTGTGAGTACTGACTCTTGAAAAGAGATTTCTCAGCACCCAGATCAGGACTCATTATTTAGATAACTTCACTATTTGAAATTGAATTGTATATACTTCATCTAAAACAAACACATATGGTAATTTTTTCCAAACTTTGAAAATCTAATTTCAAAATGGTATACAGGAATATCTTCAGATTGCATTCCAAAAAGATAGGTTCATAATGCACTTAGATAAGTCTAATTCACCTTCTATATTCAAAAAAGGATTTTATCTGTCCATTAACTGAAAAACCTTAATTGCAGTTGGCACAGTATCTGGGACCTACTGACCCAGCACACATGAGTGTTGGAGCCTAGTTGTTATGGTATTTACTTGTTGAATTCCATCTCTATATGATGGTAACTATGCAGTAACATACCACCACCAAATAAAGTTAAGGACATTTCCCATGCTTCCTCAAATGGGAAAAAAAGTATTTTCACTGGTTTTAGGGAGAACAGAGATGCCATAAAGCTTATTAAGCATGCACAAAGGCAGCTCCTCACACTCTAAGATATAAAATAGCACACAAATTCAGCATCCCATAAAAGCAGTTCTAGCACAGCTTCCACAAAGAAAAACATCCTGGCACTGTACTGTACATTCACAAAAATATGACAAGGCCCATGGCAAAGAAGGAACAGAATGGTACATTTATATCAAGAAACAACCAAATGAAATTCCATTGACAGTGTCAAAAAAATACAAGAAGATAGAGCAGATATGCTGAAGTTCACATATTCAAATTTTATCCAGATAAAAGATACATTGTGGCAACACAAAATAAATACTTAAAGATTTCACCGAATACTGGATGTTAGCCCTTGAAGTACGTAACTTTACACTTCAGTATCAGCAAACAAAATTATATTTAACTTGATTCAATTTCATTCTTTAAGAAGCTTTACAAAATGAAATTTGACTAAAGAGCAGATGAGAAAAATCTTGGTGTACACCAACCACTCAGTCTTTCACATGTCAGCTGCCTTGTGTTAGGAAACAGCACTTCACTTTCTATTTTTCACAGTTTTTTTTAAAACATGTAGTATCTTCACATCCATTTTTTTCCCAAAAGTACCAGCAGCAAGAATATTTTTCTCATGTAAACAGAATTGTGCAGTCTGAAGAAAACTGAGATAACAATTCTCTCAAGTCAAAACATCAAATGAAGTATTAAGTGCACATGTACATTTTGTGAACTGAACTAAAAAGATGTACTATAATCTACTAAAACTGATTGCACAACTATTTAAATAAACTATTATCCTTTCAAATGGTATATTTCTTTTGCCCTCAGCTATAGCTCCTGTGTGAAAGGAAATGATGTTTCTATACAATACCCCCAAAAATGAAGGGCTCCTTGCTGTATGTAAGTTTTCTAATTTCTCTTCAAGTGAAATTTTAGATTTAGCTCCTTTTAATATGGTGATGACAAAGAAAGGAAGAGCAAAAAAGCCCAAAACCAAACATATCAAAAGAAATGCCCAGCCTACTATAAACATCCAATGACAAAGCCAGTTCTGCAATGCGTTATAAGATGCGGCAACATCCTGCTCTTAAGAGCAGAAGCACCAAAGGGTTTCCAGGCACATCCAGTCATCTGAGAGGTACTTTGCCATCCAGATGTGTCTCTCACTTCAGTGCCAGGGCAGAGAGATGCCAAGGTCAGCCTTTAGCTCACTGAAGGCAGGCCTGCAGAGCTGTCTGCTGAGCACAGGGCTGTGACTCCCCTGCACAGCACGGGGACTCAGGTGCTTTCTGTGTACCAGTGGGTGGGAGGAATCTGGTCTTTAATAATGAGAGGCCAGTGAGTTGTTTAAAATTTCATCTCTAGAGGTGTGGTTCTTCTGTTTTTGACAGATATTGTGCATGCCAGCCTGGGAGGGAAGATTTTACTTTCCTGGTTAAACATTTAAGAGCCCTTCGTTATTAAACGATTAAATATTAACTGGAAATGACGAATTACATTATACTCAGATGATCCTTTATCAATCTTAAACAGGCAATTACTTTACAGTAATAGCTCTAAAAGGAACATTTTTCAGGGATGCATAACAACACAGTATTCTCAGAAATCTAAGAGATCAGGTAAAAATACTCTAGGGTAGAACCCACTTTCTCTCAACAGACATGTGTTGTTTAACATAACCATAGCACCAGAGCCTAGCCAAGGAATAGGCTCTATCTATTTGTCTGTTCAATACCTCAACCAACCTAAGAAGCCAGTATAAAAAAGAAAAAGCGCTGCATATTATTCTGTGCCAGATATACATAGTACTTGAACTCTTATTCAAATGTTAAATTTAAACAAGGAGAGGAAAAAAAATATTTTCCTGTACAAAAATGAAATTATTGCCAGACTGAATTTTTGCTTTTGTTTTCCCTCGAAACAGAACAGGAAGAAATTGAAATGTAATAGCATCTTCTAGGAGGTACACCCCCTCAGTTGGAGCATTACTATTATCACCAATTTTACTCTCTCTTCCTGGCTGCTGATAATCTCTTTTTCAGCAAATATGAACATTTACTGAAAAGGATGAAAGCAAAGCACAGATGTCAAAATTTCTCCAGGAACATGCAGATGCCTCTGTTCAATGCCAGCTTGTGTCATCAATCTTCTCTTTCTTCTACTACTAAAATTCTGTCTTCTAAATAATAATAAAGCTTTTTTGGTATTCACATGTTGTTTGTGTATCTAATGTTGTCTAAAGATTCTTCTGCATGACTGTGCTTGTATACACAAAAATTGACATTTAAAATGGTGGCAAAACACTGCAAATAGCCCATATAAACACATCCCCACAGCACTTTAGGTAAATTCCTGAGAAGATAATCCCTTTTTAATATAGAGCATAAAGAAAAAAATCTCAATATCTAAAGGAAATGCCCTCTAGATCAGCTTCCTTAAGGATCAAAGACCAGATCCTCAGACAGCATTAAATCTTGTTCTGTAACAAAGAGATTTTACAGGACCTTTTACAAAAGTATAGAAACCAACCTCACAAACTAATTGTACCTTTTCAGTATTAGCATAGCTCTTCTCTGACAAACTTGTATCTATAATGATTGCAGTTTGCATAAAGCATAAATTTCAAAGTTACTTACTCTGGTATGTCAAGGCAGATAGTAACATTATGTTGGGAGTATTTTAACTTCCTTGCTTATTATTGCAGAAAAGTTTTCAAAAATTATGTTTATTAATTTCTATCCTTTAAAGAAAAGCCAGTAGCAAGGAGAATGTAGAGATTATGTACAAAATCACAATAATTTACAGTAATTTAAATTCAGTTATTTCAAATCCAGGAAAAGAAAAATGCTGGCTATTTCCCATGTGTGTAACAATGTAACTGCAATTATTTATTTAGATAATCAATGAGAGGAGGTCATCCAGGAATAAAGACCATCTCTGGATTCTTAACTGCCATGGCTTTTATAAAAGATGACAAAAAATAACAAACATTTCCAACAGAAAAAAAAAAAAAAAAGGCAGCAAGATGAGCATTTTTGGGAATAATCTTTAAAATTAAAAAAAAAACAATGTGTAATGACTTCAGAAGGTGAGAAGCAATCCAGCAATGTCTATAAATAGTGAACAGCAGTAGGAGAGGGTCAAAATCTCACATATCCACATCTGCTGTAGTTGTCAAAACTTCTCTTATCATCAGTGGAGAGAAAGACAAATCTAGGATACAGTCCTTCTGACTTATGTCTCTCATTTAGTCCAAGGAGAGGAACTAAATGCTAAAAGAAACAGCTTTCTTTTCTCCCAATGAGAAGAATCCAATCCATACAGTATGAAAAAAGGTGGTAGAAAAAATAGAATCAATACAGAGGCACCTCCTGTTCAGCTAAGGAAAATACTGCCATATATATTAAAAATGTGTACTGTTTCAGTCTCGTGGCCTTTGAAACCAACCTGAGTGCAGGGTCACACAAGTTCAAATGTGTGACATGCTCCTGGACATGTTTAACCAAGATCTGTAACATACTTGTTTCTCTCACTTAAAAAACCCTATCCACCCACCACGTATTTTATATCTATATACACAAATATAAAAAACATATATATTTTAAAATACTGTAAATAAATAACATTTAAAATAAATTTTAAAATATTCAAAACGTTTTAATATCTGTATTGGGAACTTTTTCAGAGGTCAAAATATTTATAGCTTCATTATGGTACCTGCTTATTTCCAATAAATTTTAAAATCACTGGGCAACGTATATTAAACTTGATCTTAGATGTCATCCTCTTGAGCCAGATGTGTCAAAGCACCAGATTCACTACTGTGCCACACAATCTCATTTAATGCAGTTTCCACGTTTTTATCTAAAGGATATGTTTAAAGAAATGAGTCTTGAAATTAGACAAGGCAATGCTGTTACAACTTGTTATTTAGAATTAGGGTAAGTTTACTCTGTACTTCCCACACAGACAATTTGGAATTGAAAAGAGCTCTACAACAAAACATGAACAGCTTTTTCTGCTACTGAGGATTTGAGATTTTGAGATCCTGATACATAATGGAAGCAAAGCATGACCACATTACACATATTTAATATGTTCCAAGAACAACAAGAAAAAGCTATTATCTGTGTGCCATTCTTTGGTCTGCAGCAGCCTCCCACTGAAATAAATGGGTCACTGAAAGAAAGTCCTGTGGAGTCATTTTTAAAGGAAGCCTGCAATTTCAAGACAACTGAAGATCAAAACAAAACCTGGTTCAAATTTTCACATTTACCTTTGTCAAAATTAAATAAATATAGCTGAGTTCATAAAGAAGACAAGACATAGGCTCTCATACATGGACTCTCTGATGTTCCTGCTTAGAAAATTTCCTGTCTATTGTGATTTCAAAGCTACATCCTTCAGCAAAATGGGGATGTGAGCCTACAATCCTTTCCTGGTTCACATCTCCATGCTTTCCACTTGCACAAGCTGTCACCAGCAGAAATACAGCTCAGGCATGTCTACATTGGCCAGTGTTGACAAACACAAGCTCATTTTGCCTGTACATTCATTGGCTTTAAACCAGCTGTATGAGTTCAGTAGCTTGTGCACAGCTCATCGGCTCCAGCGCGGCACTGTGGGAGCGCAGCTCCAGCTTCCCAGCCAGCCGTGGCTGGAGGCCAGGGAGCTTGGAGCACAGGCAAAGAGTGTGGATCTGTCTAAAGCACTCTCACCATGGCAGATGGATGGAGTTATACACAAAGAAAACAGATTGCATTTGCTCCATTTATAGTATGTGCTTGTCATCCAGAAGACAAGATGTACTGAGGTCATCAATTAAAAAGAAGATGGTTGCCTACCACTGCCACACAATAAAATACAACAGCTCTTTCCTATGCATTAAAATCTCAGACTACTGAAAGATGCTACTGTGTTGCAAATGTTGGCCATAAATGTTTTTTACAGCTCACTGTTGCTGTAAAATACAATTTGTATTCCAGTAATTGCTAAATTTATCATTCTCTTTGTGAAGCTGAGCATTCACAGGTTCCTTTTTAAACCCTGTGTCTTGATTGGCATTTTCTAGACACCACTCTAGATTACAGGAACCTCATCTTTTAAAACATCAATGTATTTTTATTGACAAGCTGCACATTCCCACTCCCAGGGTTTTCAAAGAGTCTCTTTACTAAAATTCAGACAACATCAGTGCTCAGTGGTGTGCTCCAACAGATCACGCTCTTGGCTGTCGAAGGACTGCTGTGGAGGTCACCTCTGTTGGAGGCTGCAGCAGTCTCCAGTGCTGAACACTGCTGCTCAGCTCAGTGAAACATCCTATCCAGCCCCACCATCTTACGTGTTCCCCACCAAGCCTGCAGGGAAAATTACAGCTTTCCTCAGTGCCCATGTCTGAAGAGTCTAGCCCGCTCAGCTGCTGTAAAAAAGCAGAAGTGGGAGCAAGATTTTACTCCCACATCCCGCAATTGCATTGATGATATGCTGCTTTGTCCCTCAGCTGTGCTGGCTTTATATACCACTGGAAAGTACACAGAAAGGATTCTAAAAACAGCATAGACATTTTTCAGTTCAATACATCGCTACAACTTACTAACCTTGTTTTGATATTTTTGTTGCAATAACTTGCAATTATACACACAATTCTTCTAAATAGATTTTATTAGCAGTACATCCAATTTGACTTGATGCCTTTCTTGAAGTGCATTCTCCCCTCTCCCTCACCTCTCCACTCCCACCTCCAAGTTCTGAATTACAATATTGTAATTTGCACTTTCTGGTATTTTGACTATGCTGCCACTGCAATTTAGATGTCTGACATGTCAATGTCATTTCTGAACCCAGCAAGACTGTGAATAACACTGTAGCACAATATATTAACTATGCATAATACCTCCTTGACCCCACATTTCAAAACACTTAAAAATAAAAGAAAAATAAAAAAAGATTAGAAGTCAATGAGTGACTTACTTTTGCATTCAGAGGGCACACAGACAATGCACTCCTAAAGAGCTGCTCTTCTGACCTCCACTGACTGCTGCGGAGCGCACAGCGCATTACATTTATCAACAAGATTCCAAGTACTGCCACAGCAAGAATTTTCTTAAGGAAAGAGAGCCAAGTTAAGAAACAAATCATCCAATTGAACTGCTTCATCATCAACAACTCTACTGATTATTTTGATGGTACCTTTTTCTTGGCTTGCTTACTCAAGAGACTAAATCCATATGTAAAGAGAATACAATATCCAATACTGGGGAGGTAGATGACTCTCTCTGCAACAACAAATCCTACTCGGAAGAAGAGATTACTTGCAGGAAGAAAAGGGATAATAAGAAATCCAAGTCCCAGTGTAAGGATTCTGCAAACAAGAAACATTCTCAGGTTAACTACAAATCTTAACTAAAGAACCTTTTCCACTTAACATATAAAATTTATTTAAACATTATAGAAGGATGTGCATATAGGACAGGGAGGCACTTTAAAAATCATTGCTATAATTTCCAGAAAAGAAATATTCATGATTCCAGGCCAGAAAATAGCCCCATTACATATTAATTCTATAACTCCTATTTAAAATACACAGGCAGGAAAAGTAATGGTAAAAGCTACCTGTCTATTTTTGGACCTAGTAAGACAGTAATGGGGGCAAAACCATAAGTCACTGTTAAAGAAGAAACTTAGGTGCACATTCAACCGAGAGGGCGGTTTTTCTCCTAACAAACATATCAATAGTAGAATCCATTGTGGTTAACTACTAGAAAGTTAGTCATCTACTCTCTTTCTACTGACAGAAGAGACACACAGGTTTTGAGAGCAGTTTGTCTTCCTTTTTTTTGGCACCAATGTTAGTATCCTCAGCAGGTAGCTCTTTATTGACTATACAGAGCTCAGACAAAAGAGTCTAGGCACCTCATTTTACAGAGCTGACATAAGGGAATAAGGACCTCAGGTCCATGTCAGGTGTTTCCAACAATGGCCACGGGCATGGTAATTTTCTGTTCTAATTTATTACAAATGAATCTCTACACTGTAAGGTAGATGCATCCTACCTTTTCTCATCCCCACAAGTCCTAGGCCTTCACTATACATTTTGTCTTCACTTTTTACTAAAAACCTATTTAGGAATAAAGGCTTAGTGAGTGCATTTTTACTAGAAAGTATGACATCACTAGCAGCAAGAGTTCCACCCCCTCTCCAAAATTACTTATCTATGCAAATAAGTATGGGAACAGCAGAAAGGCAGGCGGGTGCACTGTTAACATTTGAAGGAATGAGAAGAAAGAGAAGAATAAGATTTTGCACTCTGAGCAATAGAATTACCTTTGTTGGTGATAAAAGGAAGACTATGGAAAATGTGGAAGCATTTGGGAAGCCTGGCTACCCAGGACACAGAGAAGGCTGAGGTGTTCAGTAACTTTTTTGTCTCAGACTTCACCAGCAAGTGCTCCAACCACACTGCTCAAGTCACATAAGGCAAAAGCAGAGACTGGGAGAACGAAGAACTGCCTGCTGTAGAAAAAGGTCAGGTTCAAGAACACCTAAGGTGCACAACTCCATGGGATCTGGTAAGGTGCACTTGCAGATCCCAAGGGAACTGATGGATGAAATTGCTAAGATAGTGCTGAGCTCCTACCCATCATACTTGAGAAGTCATGAGAGTCTGCAGAAGTTCCCACTGACTAGAAAAGGGGAGATGCTCATGTCTTAAACAGGGAAAAAGGCAGACTCAGGAAACTAGGTCAGTAGGTCATCTCTGTGCCTGGCAAGATCATGGAGCAGATCCTCCTGGAAAATATGCTGAAGTACCTGGAAAATAAGGAGGTGACTGGTGAAAGCCAATCTGGCTTCACTAAGGGAAAAATGCGCCTGACAAATTTTATAGCCTTCTCCAATGGAGTTACAGCATTGCTGGATAAAGGAAGAGCAAGTGATATCATCTACCTGGACTTGTGCAAAGCATTTGGCACTGTCCAATGTGACATCCTTGTCTAAAGTGGAGACATGGATTTGACAGCTGGCCCTCTTGGTGGCTAAGAAAGTGGCTGGATGGTTACATGCAAAGAGTTGCAGTCAATGGCTCAGTGTCCAGAGTCCAATGACAAGTGGTGTTCCTCAAGGGCTGGTACTGGGACTGGCACTATTTAACATCTTTGCTGGTGACAAGGATGGTGGGACTGAGTGCACCCTCAGCAGGTTTGCCCATGACACCCAGCTGTGCAGTGGAGGGAAAGGATGCCATCCAGGGGGACATGGACAGAATAGGTGGGCTGATGCAAACCTCATGAAACCCAAGTGCAAGGTCTGGTACTTGGGTCAGGGCAATCCCAAGAACAAAGATGGCAAGAACAAAGAACAATCCCAAGAACAAAGAAAATGGCATGAGAGTAGCCCTGAGAAGGACTTGGGGGAGTTCAGTGATGAGAAGCTGAACACAACCCAGCAATGTGCACTTGCAGTGCAGAAAGCCAACCATATCCTGGCTTGCATCAAAGTAGCATGGCCAGCAGGGCCAGGGAGGTGATCCTGCACATCCTACTCTGCTCTGCTGAGATCCTAGCTGGACTGCTGCATCCAGCTCTGGGGCCCCCAAGATAAAGAGGACATGGACCCGTTGGAGTGAGTCCAGAGGTGGGCCATGAAGATGAGAAGGCTGCAGCACGTCTCCTATGAATACTGAAAGCTGAGAGGTGGAGTTGTGTATCCTGGAGAAGAGAAGCCTCCAGGGAGACCTTCTAGAAACCTTCCAGTACCTAAAGAGGGCAACAAGAGAGCTGGAGATGGGCTTTTCAAAAGGACACGTAGTGACAGTGCCCCATTCCTAGAAGTGTTCAAGGCCAGGATAAACAGGTCTTTGAGAAACCTGTTCTCATGAAAGGTGTCCCTGCCTGTGGCAGGGGGACTGGAACTACCTGACTTTTAAGTCAGGTAGTTCCAGTCTATGACTGAGCAGTTGGAAATTTTTAAGGAACTGAGAAATTAAGTCTACATAAAATCCATGGTAACAGAGCCTATGAAGTTAAACAGAAGCCCTTAGTGAGAAGGAACAGTTTACAATAAACTTTTTAGTTCCTTTGGGTAAAGTACAAGTTGTTTTCTGGGTACATAATATGGGTCAAGCATTTTACTTTTTAACTGTATGACCATGGCCAGTATTTCTACCTGATTTCAAAGCACATCTCCTCTCTTCCATTATTAGGAGGAAATTAAAGGAAATGATGACTTGTAAGGAGTACGGGCAACAACAAACAATTTCCTACTGCGTTTTGAGCACATATTTCTTTTTACCACCTACAGTGTTAAGGATTTCAAAACACCATTTCAGAAGAAAAAATAAAGCAGCCATCCATGTCTCCTCCTCCAACTCTGTTTCCTACTAGCTGGTGTACAGTGATGGACCCAAATTGGGATAAAACTGTAATGACAGCTATAAATATTTATTTGAACTGCATTTGCTAGACACTGGTTCTACTGAATTGTTAAAATTATCAGTAGTGGATTTAACAAAATAATACTGTAGTCAAGTTGGCCAGGCATTTAAAATTCATCACTGTCTCTTACCTTCTCTTATGGCTGTCTTCTGAGCACAGAGCTTGGCATATCAGACCAATTAGGCAGAACCAAAGTGCTGCTAGTGCAATTATCCTCCAGTCGCTGACGGATTTAATGAGGGGTATGCAGCCCATTGACCAATCAAAACACAACCACCAGGGACACAACAGCAACCATGCATTCAGTGAATAGTAGTAATTATAGTTTATAGCCTGTCAGTCAAAGAGAAAACAAACATTTATTTGATACTAAACTTGAGTGGGGGAGAGAAGGGGGCAACTTTATTCCATTTCTCTTCCCTCATTTCTCTTATAACACAACAGAGGATATGAATACTGTTAGACTACAACTATTTACTATTTATATCCATTACAGTTACAGCTGTGAAATTAATTTTTAATTTTCTTTTAAACATAGCTAGGTGGCTCTCTAGTTCAGAGCAGGGAAATGCAATTCCGTGCTGTCCAACCAATATTCACACATAAAAAGAACAATCTCGTACAACAGGAGAAAACATCAAAAGTAATCACCCACTGTCTTCATCTTTCATTCTCCATCTCCAGAAAGATCCTTAATGCCACCAGAGGTACATAGCTAAGACACTCCAAATACACCAGACTAGAACTTCATGCTATTTTCTTTAGTTGTGAAAGAAGGTGAAAAGTCAAGCATAGTATGTGGAAAAGGGATGAAAATGAGCAAAAGCTAATTTCTTGTATGCATGGGAAAAATATAGAGTAAATGGAAAAGTACTTCAATGTGTACAGTGCATGCTAAATGGAATGCAAAGAATATACACAGTATACTATTAAAAAAAAATTGCAGAGAATCATCAAAGCAGCACAGGCGAAGGTGACTCATCACACATATCTCGAAACGTAAAAACTGCCCATTTTATTGTTTCTTAGAAGCACAGAAAACTTAATTTTATGACAAAAGACAAAGTTCTGAGCTGGCCAGAAAAAAGAAACTTTGTAACTTACTCTTACAAACAGACTGTCAGCGAATGAAGCTGGGTTGTCTACTTCAGTGAAAGCTGGTGGTCCTGTGCCCATAATCCTCCAGCGGATATACAGTATTCCGGCCCCTCCACACATCAAAAGAGTTATCCTGAAAAGCAGCCCCTTCCTTAACAGCCCAGCATTCTACAGGAAAGAAAGAAGGAAAAAATCCCACCTCATATAGAAACAGTATTTATTCTCTCACCCAACACATTCACATCCTTTTCACCTCTATCTCAGAAAGAAAAACCTATTCCTGTGTATTTTTGCTATTAGAGTTGACTTTTTAATGGGAAAGTATTTTTTGCAAAAAATTTAATTTCCTTCTCAATCAGTAAACAAAACTTGTTACTTCAAGAAGACTCTCTTCTACAAATCCTCTGTAATTCTTTAGCTGATGTAGTTTTCCATGGCAATTTCTGACAGGGAATTTGAGCAGAATACAGCCTTTAGTATACAGCATATTAAATTAATTTATCTTTTCTTTCTAAAATGGAGGATGAGTACTTTGGGGACTTTGTTTTAAATAGCTATTTTCAGCTGTCTGCTTGTCATGGACAAATTTTGTCCACTTAGGTATCTTCAGAGGTAAAATTACAGGTATATACCAAGAAAACTGCACAGTTAGGAACTGGGAGGAATTAGAAACTGAATTAAAATTTTCACACTCAAAAACTTGATTAAAAAGGTAACGACAGAGAGGCACCCAAATCACTTACTTCAGGGTAAATGACCCAAGATCAGAAAAAGTACAAAATTGTGTTTGGTATATATTAACTTGGTTTACATCATGCATTTTATAATATACCCTCTAGGCTGTAAAGAAGGCAAGTCACATAAAACATAAAGAAGTGACGATGTAGACAGTAAATCTGACAGACTTTTATATACTCTTCTCCAAGCACACATAATTTTCATTAAAAAACCACAAAAACCAAAAAATAAGAAACCAAACCCAAACAGAAAAACCAAAACAGTGTACACTGCAGATATTCTTCAAGCTTCACCTGTGGAGACTGGAACAGAATCATCAGTAAGTATAACAATACACCAGTCAAAGCTTTAAGATGGCACAATAATTATGATTACCTCTTAGTGGAATATGCTCTTTAGCAAGGACCACCATAATTGTTTAGGATATCAATATCAGCTATGTCTGAATTTTTTTTAAAAAAAAACGTAGGCTTCCTGAACAAAGACAGCCATCAGTGCACTGGCTGAAGATACTTATTTTCTAAAAGGATGGAAAAGTTAAATTAAAAAACAAATTTTAGATTGTTTTTTTGTATTTGTCATTAACAATGGAGTCATGATAAAATATTTAGTTGAATACTTAAGGATAAAGCAGTCTGTAATTTTGATTTTACGTAAGCTAGCCTTTGTGCTCAAATGATTGCTTCCAACCTGGACATCTCAGTAACCAAAGTTACTACAAGGAGGATTTAGGAATGGTTTTCCTATAATATAGCTTTTGGAGAAAATTGCACTATGAAAAAAGCCCACATGTAGTGAATATTTATAATTGCTGCTTTATGACAGATTAACATTATCTCTTAGCCCAGGGCTTAATTTCATTTAACAGCACATGCATTCTCTTAAAGGCCAGATCTCACAACTGCCACAAAATCTCTCAGTAGGCAGAATGTGAAAGTGGAAGAAGTGTTATTGTATCCTCTCTGATTCAGAACTAACTGAAATCTGGCATGAAACAAACCTGTCTCAATCATGAAGGAAAAAAAAGGTTCTTACTTGAAGAGTTTTTAGGATCTGCCTTGCAACAAAGCAAAACAATTTTAGACACACTTCCTTGAAAAGAGCAGAACAGATTTTTGCAGGTAACAGGAGCTAAAATTAATTACTTCTACCAAAAGAATAAGAGGGAAAAGGCACATCTGATGTTTTCTTCACTGAAACAGAACCATTTAAAAGTTCTTCTTTTAAACAGAAGCACCATACTCTGAGCTCTTCATGCTTAAAGAATAACTCTCCAAAAAGGTTTTACTCTGACATTTCCTAGAATCATAGAATGGTTTGGGCTGGAAGGGATACCATGGATATCTTTTGCTAGATCAGTTTGCTCAAAGCCCTGTCAAGTCTGGCCTAGAACACTTCCAGGGATGGGGTATCCACAACTTCTCTGGGTAACTTATTCCAGTGCCTCACCACCCTCATTGTACAGAATTTATTACTGGTCAAACACTGGAACAAACTAGGCTTCCTAGAGAGGTGGTCTCCCTGGAGCCTTCTCTTCTCCATTCCAGAAGGCCACTAGATTAGTCGAGCACAATCTGCACATGCTGAAGCTGGGTTGGCTGTCTCCAGTCACCTCCCTGTCATTCGCATGTTTTGACATAACTTCCAGGAGGATCTGTTCCATGATCTTACCAGGCACTGATGTGAGGCTTGACTGACCGCTTATTCCTGAGGTTGTACTTATTACCTTTTGTTTCCAGCACTTAATTCTCAGCTAGCTCTGCTGTAGATCCCTACAGCTCCAGATGCTTCTCTTGTCATATTCTAGTTGACATTAATCTCCTTATACAGCAAAATTTCCCAGTATTCCTATTTGGTGCCTGAAACACTCCTGTAGTCCTCACCTAGCCCTTCTTGGTCAAAGCTATAATTTCATTTCTAGAGAACCTACTTCCCCTGTTTTCCCCTGCAGCTCTTCATTTCACTCCTTGCAAAGGAATTTAAAAGCCCCACAGGACTTGTGCTACTCAGAAATATTAGTGAGACTCCTCTGCAGTGAAACCAGACTGAAGCAAAGTACAAGGAATATTCTTGTTGAATGTTGGATGAGAATCTTAGCTGTTCAACAGCAGTGATGCTCTAGTAGGCTGTAGGTGTATTTGGCTGCCATCCTTCATTGATCTGAGGCCGATTGTTTCTGTTACTTGCTTGCCAGTGTCAATACTAGGTGCCAGACTCCACTTGAGACGATACCAAATACATTGACACCAATGAAAGTCAGAAAAATCAATCCCTAGCAGCTCTCAGTGCTTACCTAACTTTTTCTTTTAAACTACAAAGCTACTAGGACCCGGTAACATAATGTGTTTTTAATGTACTTGTCTAACGATGTCATTGAGAACCTGAATAAATCTCTCCCTCTCTTTATTCTGACCAAACCATTCCAAGTACCATTTCAGGTGTATAGTTACTGACCCTGGAGAGCTTGTTGCATCAAGCATTCAGCTGTTCCATATAACATTTTTAACATATTGTTGAGAAAATTGTGGAAGGGGTTTCACTATTCAATGCAATTCTAGCAATACCCCATTACTACTCATGTTGCTGCAAAGATGCCTTACTAGGCTGACTAACAATGCCTTTTTTGGTTGGTTGGTTGTTTTTTTTTTTCCTAATTCTCAACAACAAAAAAACTGCCAGAAGCTGAATCTTTGTTGTTTAGGACATAACTGTCTGAATGGCCAGAATGAACAAAATCTGTAAGAATGAACAAAACATCCAAGGACTCACCTCCAATGACTTGTCCTTATACAGTAACTTTCGAATGAGCTCCAAAAGATTTATCTTGTTAATCACCAGTGCATCAAACACTGCGTTCAAACCCTAAGGAACCAAGAGAAAACAACAGCATAAGATGAAGCAGCTAAACACAAATATTTTCTTTTAAATACATCTTGAATCGACTTACTATACATCTTAATTCTGATTCCAAACAATTAGAGAGATACATTGGTAGTAATGATGGCAGAATGGTAAATGGAGCTCAGATTAGTAGAATAAAATTTTACTGTAATGGAAATTCTCCTGCTACAGGGAATAACCGTTCAGGGAATACCATGCACCAGAAAGCCAGATAACATATGCATGGTCACAACAGAATTCTGCTCTCCATCTTCTTTCCCAAATGTTCTGCAGTGTAAATGCTGCAGTCAAAAGGTAAGGCTTCTGTCAGTAAGGTGGAGTTTCTTAAAGCCTTCTACTTATTTTTTGTTGTATGGTATCTGTGGATTTCCAGGTTTCAGAAATACTGTTTCTAAAGGGTACAGACAAAGGCTGAGAAAGATTTAACAGAGGTATCAGACTTGTTTTTCTTGCATTAACAGCAATAAACACAGTGCAAGTTGCTGGGGGGGGAAAAAAAAATAATAGTTCTATATGACATCGGCCACTACACAAAACTAGAACATATTCAGTGCTTTGCCAGGCTACACTTGCACATAACTACCTCCAAGCAGGCAAAAAAAAATGTATAAATGTGTCCAGGAGTAATTCTATTGAGGTTACCGGCAAAATCAAACCTTAGCATTTCTGCTTCAAAGTTTCAGCATATCATCATGGTAATTCTTGAGTATTTATCCTATATTCTAATATTTTCAGAAATTGCCTCACTGTTCTGATGACTAAATAGAAAAAACCCCAGTAAAACTGGTTCCAGGTGAAGCAAAGGGCTGGTACACTGGGAGGCCACAAGCCCCTCACGAAGAGTCCAAGGGAAGGGACAGAAGATCGGTTAGAGTGTGGCTTGGTTCCATGTAGAAAGGCCACTTGGCAATTAAAAGGCTTTTGGCTGACTCAGATGGAAATAGGAAGGAAAGAATTCTACTGAAAAATCACATTCAGCCTCCAAGTAATCTTTTTAATGGGTGATTTAGCCCTTTATCCCTCTGACCTGTGCCCCTTAGCACAATAAATGTAATCATCCTAGCAGTGCAACAGCAAACAAATAAAATCCCAAATCCAATAATAGTTCTGAATCTGATAGCTCAAATAGTTACTGCATACTGCTAGAGTAAATAATTTAACATTTTAAGACAATTCCTTACAGACACCTTTGAAAAACACATCACTCTACAAACATCTATCAAAAAAAAAAGTCCCAAATCAAGAAGTTTTCTGTAATTTCTTTTCCCTTTTCCTCTAGCAAGGACAAGAGGGCCATTGTTGCAATGAATTTTGATTCTGTTGCTTATCTATGTCACCTAAAGCTATACACTGGATTTATTAATAAAGATATATAGCTATATAAAAAGTAAAAATCACAGATACAGCATTTCAGGTGGCCAGTTTGGTCACCCAAAAAAGCATTGCCTTCATTGAAGTTATAAAAAGCCAGACCACAATAAACATGAACAATAGCTACATCTGTTTCCACAGACAGACCCTTAAATAAGGAACAAAAGGAAGAGATGCAGTACTAGAAGTGCTAATTAGGTCACAATATAATTATAATTAGAGCCATAAACAATGGCCCTAATTATAATTACACTGTTCACAAAAGCAAGGGAATGGAGCTTTTAAAAATGCTCTCCTCCAGTTATAACTTTCTTCATGAGCTTTGAACTTCTCTTCAAAAGAAGTTTGTAGTCCTGCTATCTCAAGAATTTAATTCAAAAACAAGGGCAACAAAAACAAAACTAATGGTGTAAAACCTTTAAACTTTGCAAAAATATATGCAACCTGCTTACAAAAGTTAAAGTGAAAAACTAACAGATTGGCAAAGATACAGTTAAGACAGATCTACAAGAATACTGCTTTTTGTCAACATTAATTAATTTTCTGAACAGAATATAAAGGTGTGCATGTCATTAGCTGTGGAGAAGATTAATTTCTGTAGACTCTGCAACTATACCTGACAGATGTTGAGGTGAAAATTCAGTTTATAAGAGAATTCTTACCAGTATTGTAATTCCTTGTTCTTTGCACAGCATGGCTATTGCACCTAGGACAACACTCACCAGCACCCAGAATACAGAAAACGTATGTCCTTCCTTATCTGTTAAAATATAGAATGCCATATCTTTAGGCATTTTATACATTTAAAGGTAAATTAAAATAAAAAGTAAAAAAATAAACAGCATTTAGTATCGCAGTCTTTTCTACCAGTCAAGACCTGGACAGACAGACCTAAAAAGCATAGGGCATCTCCTGCAATATGCTGGCATTTGTCCCTGTATTGCAGTCATTTTCTGGTCTTGGAGACATTAGAAATGTCCCTATTTGCTCGATGTTTTAGCCAGATTAATTAGAATGGCAGAAGCTTCACATAATTTTCACAATTTGTCATCTGCAAAGGTTAATTCCCAATATTTAGAGACATTTATCATCCTTAGCTAGAGCCCTGTCATTAATGGCCACTCTCTTCCAAGCTACCATAAGAACAAGAAATTCTTTACAATAGTTACTCATGAAGTGTCACACACACAAACTGTTTTATCTGCAGTCTAGTCTACAAAGGCACAATGAGCTCCTTCTCCAGAGCTGCTGCATTTAGCAAGTGCCTCATGTCATTTTATTATCACTGCAATAGAATGCCATGGAGCTCAAAAATGTCAGCAGACTAACAGCAGTTAGTCCTTGCACTCAGGAAGCAGTTTTACAGCAGGGTGAGGAACTCTGGGGTTAAGAGATCAAGAGCCACTACAGCTTCTACTCAAAGAAAAGGTCTTTAAAGACTGTACCACGTAGCTGATTTTGGGTACTACAAGCAGGCATATCTGAGATGAATGTAACAATCAACCCTACTTCAGCCAAGGTACTATCACACACAATACACAGGTACTTCACAAAAAAACATATCTGTCACAACCTCTACTCCATAGGAGCAAGCAACAGAGGAAAGCACTCTGCTCATTCAGAGGCAGTTTCTTGATTCCAGTAACAGGGGCTCTACAGGCATCACAAGAATCAATCTTGGACTTGGCGTGTGCAAAAACAAAGTTGAACTCTGCATTCATTGACTGAATCCCTTTCTTACTTTCCTTGACCTCTAGAGCAGTTCTTCTCTACTGCTAATGCAGGTTTGACCCTCAGTGCTTAAAGAGAACTGCAATAATGGTCTGTGGAAAGGGTAAATGGCAAGATTAAGATATCTCACCAGAAGTAGAAACCTACACCTAAGCTAGTGCACTAGGCTCCCTTTGTAACTGTCCATGAGAAGAGGACACCTTTAGGGATTAAGTTACCTAATTAAATGCAGCCGAACACCCTTCAGAGCTGTAACTCTGCACTGATGATACAGGGAAACCAGTACACTACTTCAAATGTTGTTGGGGTCAGATACAAATCATAACCATGTGTGAAAAGGATCTGCTGACATTGGCCTCCTCTTTCATTTTGAACCAGGCTACTTCTTTTGTAACAGAGAGCTCCAAACTTTTAATACAAATATGTCAAAAACAGGTTTTGAGTTACTTCTAACCTAAAAAAACCCTTTCTTACCTAAGACTTCTAAAGCTTCAACAGAGTGAATACGAAAATGTTTGAGATTCACAGTTGCAATACATAGAGGGCATTTGATCCTCCTCCCTCCACTCCAAATTATGTCTCCAGAAGCGAGGTAAAACTTAACATTAGAGGTGCAAATGTTATAAAGGTAAAAGAAAGTCTTCTTTTAGGAAAGAAGTAATACACATCTGAATAATGAAAAAAAAAAGGGCAAGAAAATACAAAATACATAATAACTTAAAAGACATTGGAAGTAGAAAAATTAAAATGCAATGGGAAACTTCAGCCCACATCAATTATACAGGGGAACAGCTGAGGGTTGTAACTCATGGAGGAAAGAGCTTCAACATTCCTTCTATGAGTACTGCTAGACAGAAAGAATTCTGTCTAAATACATCCCTTCAAGGAGCTTTTCATACTTTGCAGTACAACAGACTGTTCAGCCAGTTCTTGAAAACCAGATTTGGTGGTTTTTTGTTTGTTTTGGCATTTTTGTCGGTGGTTTGTTTTTTTTTTTTTTTTTTTTTTTTAAATGTAGAAATCAACTAGCACAGAGAATGCAAGGATAGAAGGCAAAGTAATGGACTGTGTTCACAAAATGACTGTCAGTCATCCCTAGTAAGTGTAAAAAGGAAAATAGTGAAGACAGCCAATGGACTTTTACTGTGCTTATGGAAGCAGACTTTCTTCCACTGAGAGGTTTCTTCTTCTCAGAATCAAATTCTAGTGGGAAGGAGTCAGGACAACTAAGCACTTCTCAGAGAAGCAGTATTCAGTACACAAATACAAATTATATTAACACAAGAGATTGTAGAAAATATATATAGTAAGAGACCAGCTGGCAATTCAGAAATGCTTTGATGATTCAAAATATAAGAGTAATAGTAAAAAGGGAACTAGGTCAAATCATCAAGGACAAATGTAAAAGCAGCACATTCATACAGAAAATCTAACACAGAAAGGTCACATTGCAAAATAAGAAAAGGTAATGCATGTAGAGAACAAATCCCCACAATTCCACAGATATATTAGTAAGAAGAGTAGTGAGGAAGGAGTTATTCCAATAGTCATTAAGAAATAAAATGGACAGTGCCAAGAAAACAGAAGTATTCTGTGCTTTTTTCCTTCATTTTTCTCCCAAAAAGGTCAGTTGCAATCAGATGGCAAGTACAGCATCAGCAGAAAGGGAGGAAGGACAAAAGCAAAAATAGTGAACTACAAGACAGAATTCATAGAGAAGTTAACCTGTTTTAAATTACAATTGGTTACACTCTCTCAACAGGTCCTATATAACCCAGAGTAAACTCAACTGTTACCTCTCAGAAATAATGAAAAATACACGAGAATCCAGGAATGTCAACTAAAATAAAACAGTGCCTACATATCTACTTTGGAAAAGGAACAAAAATACAAAAGGATAGACTACAGATATAAAGCTAAGCTGACTGGTCAAAATTACAAAAAAATCACTACACCTAGACAAAATATTTTCTAGGTGACACAATAAAACAAAAGAATATGATTAATTGTTTGCCAAATATTTTAGTCATTTATATAGAACTAAGTATAACTTTTGACTTGGACAGAAAAAAAAAGTCTTCCTGACAAAAGGAAATCTGTAAACATCCTATACCTTGACTTTGCAAAGGCATGAGAATAACACTGGAAGTAATGTGAAATATGCCACAAAAAAGAAGGGCTGCATGAAGTTGTTATAGAATGGGTACAAATAACAGCTGGAAAACTACGGTAAGATACCAGCTTGCTGTGAAAAAAAGTAAAGATAACATTCTGTACTGGATTCTTCCTTTGTCCTTACTCCATTTGGATGCTGGAATAAGAAATATGCTTATTAAGACCAGAAATGCTGCCAGGCTGCAACGGCCAGGAGTCATACAAAGGAGAAGTCAGAATTCCATTGACAAACTGGAAAAAACACAGAATCATATGATAGCTTGGTTTTGAAGGGACCTTATGGGTCATCTGATTCCAAACCCGCTGCCATGGGTAGGGACATCTTCCACTAAACCAGGTTGCTCAGGGTGCCATCCAGTCTGGCCTGGAGAAACGGGTCCAGCCAAATAAAAGAAAACAGAAGCCATTCAATAGGCACATGCCCAAAGTTGTGCATAAACAAGTTTGTCTTTGTGTGAACCTCCCAAGTCTAAGATGCAAGAAATATTTCAGCCTGCCCAGCAAAGTCAATCTTAAGCATAGACTTGCAAAGATGATAAAAACACAGTGAAAGAGAAATAATGAAGGTCCCAAATATTGAGCATCAAAGACCTTCAGTAAGGCCTTTGACAAAGTCTCCCATAAGATCCTCCCAGAGAAGCTGTTGCTGAACAGGCTGGATGTGCAGACAGTGAGGTGGACTGAAAGCTATCTGAATGGCTTGTCCAGAGGGTGGTGGTCAGTGGCACAAAGTCTCACCAAAGGCCAGTGTACTCAGGGGTCAATACTGGGTCCAGTCCTATTCAGCATCTCCATTAATGACTTGGATGATGGGGCAGAGGGCACCCTCAGGTACACATTTGTTGAGGACACCAAGCTGGGAGTAGTGGCTGATACACCAGAGGGTTGTGCTGCCATACAGAAGGACCTTGTCAGGCTGGAGAAATGGTCTGGCAGGAATCTCATATGGTTTAATGAGGGGAACTGCAAAATCCTGCAGTAAAGCCTCCTGGACAATGGGCTGTAGGTGACCCTGTGTGGGCAGGTCAGGTCAGGTGACCTCAAGACCCCTCCAACTTCAAACACTCTGTGGTTCTGTAAAGAGAACCACAGATCTCCTGAAAAGCACAAGCTCTGTTCCTTTGTTTTCTTTTGTGGGCTCAAAAAAACAACAGTTATACACAGAATTGTAATATTATCAAAATTCATCAGTGATTAAACTTCAAAAAGAAAGAATTTTAATTAAGAAACATTTTATTTCATGCTTGTTCCTGGATCAATATGCACAACACCCCTCCATCCCTACCACCCCCTGTCTCAACTGCAGAAATCTCAGCAAACTAGGCTGGCAAAATAGATACAAAAGACCACCATTCAGCAATGCCTTCAGTTTTATCTTTTTTTTTAAATAGTGAGTTGAAAATGTAAAGCACTGCATAAGTGCTTGTTATGAGATATACACATGCCAACAGAAGTAATCAGTCTAACAAAGCATATTCCCCTAATATGGCGCTGCTTCCCACCAGAAAAATCAGAAAATGAAACCATTCTCTCATTGGCACCTGTGCCTGGTTGAAACTGGTACACCATATTGTGAGTGGGCATTTTGCCACTCTAACAGATGGACAAAATTGTAAGCATGCCAAAGAAATAGAGTACTTGCTTATTTTTCTTTTAAGCTGGAAAAAATATAGTGTTTCTACACAAACCCAAAAAGCATTGCTCAGATGGTCCCTCTTTAGGAGTACATGAAGACTGAAAGTTGAGGGGATTCAATAAAATACCTATGTAAACCATAAACAAGCCATGAGAGCTCCTCCATTTAGACTGCTAGACTTGAGTATAAGCATTTCTAGGGCAAGGATGCATACACAA